CCCTTTGATCTCTCAAAAATATGACTTGAGAATTTACTAGAATTCTATTGACCTTAGCTTCCTCTGTAATATTATACATTATCGATAATTTATCAATCACGGATAATATTATGATAGTATAATATATGTATATTAAACTTTTCAAGAATATATAACAAAAATCCCATAAAAAAGTATGAAAAAGAATTCTCAAAAATGTAATAATTATTTAAATGGCTATAAATAGACAAGCGGAAAGAAACATATAATTTCTTAATTTTTTTTTCTTTTTCGCAGAATCACCAGCGATGATTGAAAAAGGATTTACATTATCTCCCGAATGACCGATTCACAGGCAATTCTTCCTCGTTCTCGGATGAGAACCGCTGTCGGCATCCCGGAGTCAGTGGCGCGAGTAAACCAATAACGCGTCCGCCACGCCGGGTGCCAAATTCAAATCCGGCAGGGACCGAAACGGTATTCCACGACGAAACGGATAGCGGGAGCTCCGCAGGACATTTCGAATCCGTCTCCGCGTCCTGCGGGCTTTACTGGTTTGTCGAGCCATTGGCTCGATTCGACAATTCCGCGCGCGTTCAACTTTCTCGCGAAAGAGGATAAATGTGATCGGGCGTCTGTTATACACAAAACTGTTGCTCTCGCGTAATTTTACTTAATCTGGTCGTTGAAATATTTCCTCAAAATGTCGAAAAGATAGAAAATAATTAAATTAAGTATCGTTGAATAGATTTCTATGAAAAAGATTTCTTCTTTAATAATAATAAGAAATTCTCATAAAAATCTACTCAACGATACTTAATTTGATTATTCTCTATCTTTGCATATACAAATTTTTGAATAATGACTGTAACAGGTAAAACATTAAATTAAATTGTGCTTTTCGTCGAAAAGTAGAAAGAACTATCATGTATATAATGCAAGTTAATGCTGTAATATTTATCAAGATAAGAAATTTCTTTTTGATAAATTAACGGATTAATTGTAGTTGTGTTTCTTTAAACGATGAAACGAGATTTTTGGAAATACTTGACAAAAATCGTATCAACGTCTATGTAAGAAAAACTTTGTTCATAAGATACATTGATAATTTATATTTTTATAAGAATGTTCTGTCGTAATAATCGATAGAAAACCCAACGCAAACAAAAAGTTTGAAACACATAAAAAGTATATCTTCCGATTTTGTTTAGCCAAATCGAACGAGATATATATGCAGAATAAAATTGTTAGAGCAAGATGAAGAAATCCGCAACAGGGCAAGCTTCGTTCCGACGTTTACGCAAAAAAAGCGGAAAAAAAAGAAAGAGAGAGAGAGAGAGAGAGAGAGAGAGAGTCGACGAAAGAGGAAAGAGCTCGAGATATTCCACCCATTCCACAAGGTGTACGAAGCGTATCCAATTTGATGGCATTACAATAACGGGGGTAATGTCTGAGAATAATGAAATTTCCCCCAATCACCACGGCTCGCCTGGAATACGTTCCTTCGTTCCGTTCGTACCTTCTCTCACTTTTCCTCTTTCCTTCCCCCCCCCCTTCCCAGCGAACTGAGGTCTTCTATCGTTTACCACACGCGCACATGACGGCACATGGACGGACACGCACAAAGTGATCAGAGAAAATGAGTAGAAATGTTTTCGAATCAATCCCGTTCGCGAATTATTTTGCTCCCAGAGAAAAATTGAAGAATTTTCAAATACTTTGGTTTACGAAAGGAATTCTGTTCAAAAGTTTTCGAACGTGGCGACGCAAGTCACATTTGTGAAAATTCTGTGCACTTCCGCAATATTTTGCGATATATTCCATAGTAAAATAAAAATTCAAAATCAACATAATAATTTTTTTTTTAATCCTTCTGTATAGCTTCAGAAGAACTTTTTTATAGCAAATAATGTAATATATATATATATCGCTTTTCTCGAAGACACAACATTTATCCATCAAGACAAATGAACCTTTTGAAAATTATTATAAATTAGCACAGAACTAATTTTGTAACCGTACCATTCAGACAAAATATATTCTTTAAATTTTATCCAACGATATTTCGATGTACCAATTTTGTTGATATATGTGATGTTAACCTATTTTCGGAAAAAGACGATGTAATATCTGAAGACTTCACTGAATGTGAAACTGAAATTCCTCTTGGCCGTTCGATCGCTTCGCGTTTTAGCGCTCGAATCCGTTCGACGCCTCGTTTCGCCCCGGCGCAATAATTCTCGAGCGAACTGTACGTAATGGAATATTACACGGACCATTAAAGAAACGTTAATCTTGCCCACAACAAGTTCAGAAGCGCTCGCAAGATCCTCAAACGCGGCCGGGATTACGCGCCGACTTTGATCCTCCAACGCCCCGGAGGCGCGCTCCGCGAAGTCCGCAAGCTCTCCCGTAATTTGTTAAAACGCGAAATTCTGTAACGTCGCTGTTTGTGTCGGCGCCTCGTTTTCTACCGCTTAAAATGCTTAAAAGTCACGCCTTTGACGACTCGCTGTAACATACTTGTTAAACTTTTTCGCGTTGTTTCTTTAACGCGTTGAGCGTTTTTTCCACCATTTTTTCATTTAATTCTCTTTTCACCAACAATATCTAATCATATATCTAATCATATCTAATATCTAATCATATATCTAATATCATATATCTAAATAGCTGAAAAATTGCGATTCTGAAATAGATCGAATGGATTATATTGAATACGAAATGTATCATTTTAAAGTGTCACTTTTTATAGAAACGATTTTCAGGATTACGGGATTAAATAATTAAGCATGATGTAAATTTACGTTAGAAAAAGTTTCAAAGAAAAATTAAAAATTTTTTAAATTCCAAGATTTAAATGTATAAATAATTCATTTAATTTTTTTATTGCTATACTATTTTGATAACGGCTATAAAGGAGAAAAATCTATTCTCTCGTAGCAATTAGAAGCTATCATAATTTTTGCGAATTCAAACAAATCATTTCAGTCTATTTTCCTAGACGCGGATGCTAAAATTTGTCGTGACGACGAAAGAGGAGAGGGCTGAACAAAAAGCGGCGAAGATGAACTCTCGTCGGCTTTCTTTCACGGCGAGCCTTTGACACTTTTTTTCTCACGTCGATAAGAATGCTCTCTCGGTTCTACCGTCATCCTTTTCCTTTTCCAACCTCACTACGACTTTCACCCGTGGCCTCTTCATGAGGGTAGCTCGCGTGCACCTCGGCGTTGTTACGAAGACGCGAGGGAGCGAGCCAGCCAGCAAAGGGAAGACGAATAGAATGAAGGAGACGCGACGCAAATAGAAACAAGGAAGAACGGCGTAGAGCAATGTGGGGGAGGGGGAGGGTAAAATTTAGCGACCCTCTTTCGCTTTTTACCCTAAGCGAGTCGAGAGCCCCTTAGCCACCGTTTATTGGACGCATGCAAATATCCATGGCAACGGCGGTATACGGGGAGGAACCAACCCCGTCGTCGTGAACACCGAACGTATCGCGGGGTTGAAGGGGACGGGGGGAGGGTCCCTCTCTCCACAGATCGGAAAAGAAGGAAAATAAAAAAAAAAAAGGAAGACGTCAGAGAATTTTCTTTTGATCTGTGCCTCGACCATCCTCGAGCAATCTCTTAATTAATTCTACAAGAATTGATATTACGTTCCTTTTTGGTGGATACTTCTCGGTGTTTAACGTATGCGTTCTGCTAATCATTATATATATTTCAAGTTCAATTTGCACTTCCGACTAGTTTTGTATTTATTCATTGTTGATAAAGATATCCGGACAATTTCCTTTCTCCGGATATCTTTTGAGTTATGAAAAATCATCGTGTCTTTCCGATTTAAATTCCAGAGGTGCGAATAGATGATTTTCTTTGCTCTCTGTCTTTTCTTTTACCTTACATTATTCTCCTGACAAAAATTGGCAACTCTATACTTGCGAAGCAATACATAAAAAAGAAAAAAAAAATTGCATCTAATGTTAATATGTTGTAATAGTGACACTTTTTAACGATAGACGAGAATCTCTATCGGAATGTCGCGATTGCGAGATGGAAAGAATGATTCGCGTTGGGGAAACAGAGGACTCGTCGGGGCGGAACCGGTTAACGCCAAATCGTCCGTCATCCGTTTGCGCGATTAACCGCCTCGTGTTAACAACATCAGCCGCGCGCCGCGACAGGGGGGTGGAGTTTGCACACGTCGCCCGAGAGTCCATCAGCTCGCATAAACATCCTCTGTACAACCGGTCGCCACCCCACGGAAAACTGATTTCCATCCCTCACCTCCGTCCCCCTCCTCGTCCTGCGTACGACTCGCGCTATCTATGTAAATGCGGTCCTGTTTTGTGTGAGTAGAGACAAAGCCCCCGTTGACAATACGCCTGCGCGTTTACAACTTCCACCCACCCGCCGAAAGTCAGGCTCCATTACGGCTGTTTTGCGACGTGCTTTGTATTGTCGCCGCCGCCGCGACACCGATTCTTCCGCGGAAACCTTTGTCAAGCTGTGTTGTAATCGGTCAGCGAGATTTAACTAAATTAACCAAGATTTTTTATGAGGCGCGAATCTTCATTATTTGATTTGTATTTTCACTGTTTCTCAAAAAGACTAACACAGTTTTTATTAAATATGCGATGCAATTTACGATCTAACAGGAAAATCTGCTATAGCATCCTTTTGTAATAAATTAATAAAATAATGAAACTGAATGATGTAGAATAATTTTGAGTACTCGAGTTTTCGCCATAAATAATTCCATTACGTATTCGCGTTGATGAAAACCTTTTTTATAGATAATAAATTACCTATGTATATTTATTCTCTCTCAATTATTATTATATTGACTATAGGTCAATCTGTTTATTGTGTCAGTAAATATTTCCAACTAGTTTAGTTTGTTATCTACTGGTCATAATAATGAGTGACACAACCACTATAATGAAGATAATATATTCTTCAATCTTCTGTTTAATATAAGTGAAAGCAAGAAAAATTTTTGAACATATTGTAGGTCGTACTTACGCTTGGGATGTTGTCGTTCGTGCACACGCCTTCCTGCAGCAAGCGATCTCGGATCTCCCACGCAAAGATCGACGGGCACTCGCTTTTGTAGAGCGAGATCTTGTTGACGACCTCCGCCGTCGCCACACGCGGTTTGCTGCCACCGATAGCCCTGGGCCTTATAGATCCGGTCTCATAGTACCTACAACAATAATAATTTGCGGTACAATACGGTAGGAATGCAAGAATAAAAATCTTTGAAGTCAGCATTGGTAATAGGACATTATACTAAGCATATCGTCCGCCATATTACGGTTTAAATTTGGATCGAGCTGCATAATGCGGGGGCAAAGCCGTTATTGAACAATATACTTTGATTGCGCCTTTTATGACGCAATGGCTGTGTATAACGTAAAAGTGTTTGAATAACCTATTTATATTCTCCTCTTAACCAGTTTGAATTCCATTATAACTTTACAATGTTCTTTTACTTCTTAAAATTTGTAAAAGATACATATTCGATGTAATGTAAAACAATCAATATATAATCACATATTTTTTTTTATCAAACCTTAAAATAAATTTTTGGAGTATGATACAATTTAATTGAATCGAAATTGAATTGATAAGTATATAATGATTTGAGCCAGAAGATTGCGTGTATATGTCCACGGTGTCTACTCCTATCTTCTAAAAAAATTCCCTGATTTTTCAGGTATTTTTGTTTAAAATTCCAGGTAAAGAGAATATTTTAAAGATTTTTTGGTGCAACCTTTTAAAATAAACTTTTCTATTGCATGCATTTTTCTAATGCTTTTCGCTCATACAGAGGAAAAACATAGACCTAAGTTTCAAATTCGCAAATGTAATAAAAAAGCTGAATAGCTTTCGTAAGATAAACATTTTTCACTTGCATAACATTTTCATTTTTTTATCAGTAAAAATTACATTGAAAAGAATATGTATTGCATATTCAATATTTTTTTAAGACATTAAATATATAAACAAAGATAGATTAATATTTATATTACATTTTAATAATTCATAACTTGGCTTATCGGCGATTACTTATAATATAAAAATATTATCAAAGAAAAATTTTTAAAAAGTTCCCTGAACTCAAATAAAATTCTATGAGAATTCCCAGATTTTTCTCTAGATATAAAAGAAATAAATTCCTGATAATTTCAGGTTTTCATATTTTTCGAAAGAGTAGACACCGTCATGTGAAATAAGCAATATTGCAACCAACCTGCCCAGGATCTTCGAGACGCAGCCATTGCTGACCTGCAGTATCCTGGAGATATCGCAAGGTCGCGCGCCCGAATGTGCGAGCTCGACGATCTTTTGCCGCGTCGAGTCCGGAAGTGGCCGGCCGCCGACGAAGACACCACCCAGCTGGTTCACCCCGCTGTGTCCTGCGAACAATGAAAGTCGCATATATACCCGGTGCTCGCTTACTTTTAAACAGTCATTTCTTTTTTAGAACTAGATACACCAACAGATCAAGCAGTAAAAAATTACGCCGACAAAGAAATCATATTTCTCTGAATTATTCTCTCCTCTCGATCCCCTCCCGCGGTAAATGTTCGCATAAGGGGTGTGAAAAGTTCAAATGCTCCACCGCCTCTGGTGACTTTTTCGCGTTTCGACGAACAATACCGCTGTCGCCGTAGATCATGTATTTTCTCTCCTCCCGTTCAGAAGCTCAAACCCGAGAGGAGAGAAGAAGACTACGGCGGGTTCTTTCTTTCTTTCTTTCTTTCTTTTCGCGCTCGACGAAAGGGGGCGACGGAGTGGCGGAGGATGAGCGCAGGGGGTTGGTCGCGAGCGTCGTAATGTCAGCGAATCCCATCGTAGATAATCTTCGACTCATTGTGCCAGTGACAAGGCAGGCACACACGCCGCCGTCTTGGGACACTCGAGAGAAACGCCAGGGAGGAGAGAGTGAGAAAAAGAAGCGTTCCCTCGTGCAGATACTTTATATTCCCGTCACCGCCGCGCGCAAAAGCTGCATCCGAAGGTGACACTTAGAGTGGAGTGCCACGCCCTAATTTTTCTGGAGTAGAGATCCTATCGTTTTCAAAAGATAGGTAAAATTTACACAAATAAAGTAAGAAAAAATAAGTACCATTATGTAGCACATAGCTAACATGAATTTATCATGAATCTAGTGAAAGGATTCCTTGATAATACCCTTGTCTGCGTGTAATGAATTATCCGTATTTATATAAAGTTATCAGAAATATGATTAATTTTATATGATCATAAGAAATAATTAGAAAAGTTAAAATTCTGATATTTTTACATGTAACATAATATTTCTAAAAAAAAAATATATTTTCCTCTCTTGTAATACTAATTAAAGAATTTAAAAATAATTTTCCATAAATGAGAATATGAGATTATCCCAGAGTTTTTGATTAATATAATAATAAATTACACTAATGTAATAAAATTACGCAAATAGTTACTCACTAAAAATTATCACATTTTGCACTGCAAAGAATTAGATTTCTTTATCTCATGTAGTAACAATAAAAAATTGTTATATCCTTTAAATATATTAATTCTTTAAATCTATCTGATAAATCTAGTAACAGATATAGCAATACGAAAAAATTAAATCCTTAGCTTGTATCGAAACACCGATTGGAAATCATCATCAAACAGAATGTAATATGTGAGTGCAGACATATATGTACGCATTGCTTCCATACACAACTATCGCTTATGAGGTCCGTTAGGAAAAAAGCAACGTTGGTTGTCAAAAATATCCTGTTGACGCTAATTCGGCGCGTCGCATCGCGTCGACTGGCATACACCCGGAGGGTTATAAGGGAGATTTACGAGTGCGCGCGATCGACGGAAAGGGGGCTCACGGTCGATTGACTTTCGAAAATGGGCCTGGCACGAGAATCGCGAAGCCATTTCTCGCGTGTATGTCCCATCGTGAATGGGTCTCCCTCGTTGTCGTAAGAGAAAAAAAAAAGAGAGAGGAAGAGAGAAGCTATCCCACATGTGTGTACACATAGGTGTAAATAACTACCGTGTCATAATTCACAAATTAACGTGTCTATGTTTTAATAAGTCGCCACTTGCCTCTTTATAAAAATCTATAAAAAAGAAGCATATAAGAGATATGCATACAGAAGCAATGGAAACGGAAATTCTCGTCCGGAGAAATCTGCCGATAATACCGCGCGAGATTCGCAAATCGGCGGGCAAAAAGCGGAGTAGTAAATTAAAGAAACAAATGGAGTCTGTGAAAAGGAGGGCGAATACGAGCAAATTGTTAAACGCGCTTCGAATGCCGGTTCTTAACGAGCGATAATAACTCGCGCAAATAACTGGCGCGTCTTTAGAGAGGGCTAGTTTTTCTCTCTCTCTCTCTCTCTTTCTCTCTCCCCTTTGCATCGCTCGCCCGGCCATTGTGTTCGAGCACGAGAGAGCATCGGGGAATTATAGTTAGCTCCTCGTCGTGAACCCAACGCGGATTCTGGGGATATGTACGTTTGTATTATCGGTACAACAACGCAAGGGGGTGCGCGATACTGCGCCTTTAAGGCAGCCGGTATTAACCGCGCGCGCGACCAAGGGGTGCGCTCGAGTGGGCATTCGGACCCAGAGGACGTGTTTTGATATTGTAACGTTTGTATTAAATATCAAGCCGGAAAGGGTGTCGCCGCCTGCCCGAGCCTCGGCGCCGTTTATTAGGACTTCATTAGCCGTCCCTTGATCCCTTCTCGCTTTCTCGCCCCAACACCCTTTCCCATATCATGATGCATCATCGAACACGCGCGGAATTTTTCCGAATGTCCGTCACCGTTTCTTTGTGGATCTCTGAAAAATTATTGTTATCACGTACATAACTCTTTCTGATGTTTTATATTATTTTATATTATTTTATATTATTATTATTCTATTATCGGCATTCATACGCAATAATAAAAATTGCAAGAGATATTAAGAAAATAAATAATATATACCTTAGAGAGGATAGACCTTTTTTAAAGCAATGATTTTCATAAGTCAAATTTTTGCTCGATGTAATTAAAATATCAAATTAGAGAGATTCTTTTACAAACAAAAAAGACAAAAGAATTAGCATATGTATAAAACACGTGCTGCTAATAAACGCAGCACAGATATACCGTGCAATGAGGGGGGAAAGGTTTTAAACTCATTATAATATATAATATGCTATTTCTTAGAAGATAACTTCTCATCTGTCGACGTAATAATGTATTTCCAATAGTTACCCAAGGCAAACTTTCTTATCCCGCGTTAGCGCAACCGGCTGTGATAAAATCTTGTACAAATGCATTACTCCGAATGAGCATAATATGAAAAAAATGTTTTTTCTTTGCATTATATGCAAAGAATAAACGAAAATAGATAAAAGATAAAAGAAAATAAAAAGACAAAATGACATCAAATTCCACGTGTACGGTATATAATTTTTTATGCATGACATATATGAATGTATATATATGTTACTGTCATATATGAAAGGAGATGCGGATCTTGGCAATATTTTCATAGCTCTACTATTTATATAATTTCCAATTAGTTCTATTAATCTCTCCCCGCCCCTTTCAATTTATTTCTGTTACTTTAATTCTGCTTACTTTACGCTGTATGTCAACAAAAAGCAGAAAATTTTGGAGAGTCTAATGACAAGTGATCAGCGAACGCTAATCGAGGATCGACAAGGATCGGCAAAGTGTTTTCGGATATGCGCAGACAGTTTGATACTTTTGGCAGCGAGTAAAGAACCGTGAAAAAAAGAATGGGAAGCTCGTTTACAAACGGGCAACAGAGCCTCGCTGACGCGACGGCTCAGACAGCACATTCATCATCCGTCCGACTTCTTCCTCCCCGTCCGACTTATATATCCACCTCTCGTTTTCCTCCTTGTTTTCCGGGGTGGTCCTCCTCTCGCCGTCGTGACGTAATCAATTACGACGAGCAGCAGCGGCTCGCCGGAGGTTGTCGGCTTCCTCTACACGAGACTTAATCCGCGTATCCCGATTTCTCATATTACGATAAAGTCTTCTGTTTTGATTTGTTTTTGACTCTCTCAGATAGATCATTGCGCTTTATTCTCTCTGCATCTCATAAACGCTATAGTTGTTTCCATTTCTATATAGTATCCTTTTTATTTTAAAATCTTTGAAGAATATATTATATATAAAAATTTTATATATAAAACATTTTTCAAGAATTTTAAAAGAAAGAATATATATTTTATTATTAAAATTATAAGAATGGAAAATATATGCAAAATTGATTAAGATTTTGAATATGATTAAGGCTCATAAAAATAAATTTTACTACATACATATATATAGAAATAATTTTATTAGTTTGGAGGTGGCACTAATTTTACTATTTCTATAAGTGTTCAATCAAGTACAGAATACTTGAGATGTATAGCGCAACAATTCAAGAGTGAAATTTGAGTTTCCCATCCATTTAGCGAAACGATTTGTATATCGATGACACGGATCGATCGAATTTTGTTTGACGTGAAAAGCCCTATTCGATGGTCTGAAAGTTCCTCTATCGTAGTCATTGTCGCGGGTCATTGTGCATCCTTGTATCGAGTTGCGCAGAAGTTGCGGACTTGAGAACAAGAACGGCAATCTCTATCGTGAGGTATACGTGTATTCGTAACGGCGCTCTGCTAAAGTGCCATGACAAACGCTTACGGAGACGGCAGTTAAAATCGGTTCACCTAGAGCGTTGTCGACGATGCCCGCCGCCGGGCGTCTCAATCATCCACCGCAAAGATGCGTTTCCGGCGAATGAATGAACGGAGGAGAGCACGGGACACCCTTCGAACCCATTTGAGGCTCCTCAACTTCGGGGTAGATAGGTGCCGAGGGATGCCCACTTGGGCTCGAGTGGCATGATGTTTCGCCACAGTAATCGCTCAAGAGGATGAAGAAGAGACGGAATATCTGCCCGATCATGCCGAAGTGTCATTTCACGCCGATTCGAAGGAATGCTTGTAAAAACTATCAATCGCAATCCTTGGAATCATGTAAATCTAATTCTCTTTCTTATAAAAAATTAGATTAATAAGAATATCGGAAAATATCTCATTGTTATTTTTTTAAATCGGTGTTCAGCGATTATTTAATGATATGTATTTTTCTCGTTTTTAACATCTCTCTCTCGTTTCTTTTCTCTAAAATTAATTCTTTATAATTAAATATAAATGATAATTTGTAAAGATATAATTTTTTTTTAATGTTTTCTCATTGTAATTCAGAATATTACTTCTGACCCTTAACTGTTATTTGATTTCCATTCTTCGATTCAAAATGTAGAAGAAAGTTTCCAATCGTTCTATAGATATGCTCACAAACGTATCGAGAAAATAAGTGTAAAGAATATATAGGGACGCACG